CGTTCTGGTCAGGCTGTGGGGTACCAGGCCCATGTCATGGTTCAGGCTGTGTTGTACCAGGACATGTCTGGTCAGTCTGTTTTGTACCAAGGACAGTTTTGGTCAGGCTGTGTTGTACCAGGACATGTCTGGTGAGGTTTATATCCAGGACATGTCTGGTCAGGCTGTGTGGTACCAGGACATGTCTGGTCAGGCTGTGTTGTACCAGGACATGTCTGGTCAGGCTGTGTTGTACCAGGAACGTCTGGTCAGGCTGTGTTGTACCAGGACATGTCTGGTCAGGCTGTGTTGTACCATGACATATTTGATCAGGCTGTGTGGTACCAGGACTGTCTGGTAAGGCTGTGTTGTTCCAGGACATGTCTGGTCAGTCGTGTTGTACCGGGAAACAGTTCTGGTCAGGCTGTGTTGTACCAGGACATGTTCTGGTCAGGCTGTGTTGTACAGGACATGTCGGGTAAGGCTGTGATTATACCAGGACATGTCTTGTCAGACTGTGTTGTACCAGGACAGTTCTGGTCAGGCTGTGTTGTACCAGGACATGTCTGGTCAGGCTGTGTTGTACCAGGATATGTCTAGTCAGGCTGTGTTGTACCAGGACATGTCTGGTCAGACTGTGTTGTACCAGGACATGTCTGGTCAGGCTGTGTTGTACCAGGACATTTTCTGGTCAGCTGTGTTGTACCATGGACATGTTGGTCAGCTGTGTGTACCAGGACATTTCTGGTCAGGCTGTGTTGTACCAGGACATGTCTGGTCAGGCTGTGTTGTACCAGGACATGTCTGGTCAGGCTGTGTGGTACCAGGACATGTCTGGTCAGGCTGTGTTGTACCAGGACATGTCTGGTCAGGCTGTGTTGTACCAGGACATGTCTGGTCAGGCTGTGTTGTACCAGGACATGTCTGGTCAGTGCTGTGTTGTACCAGGACATGTCTGGTGGAGGGCTGTGTGGTGGTCCAGACATGTCTGTCAGGCTGTGTTGTACAGGGCATGTCTGGTCGGCTGTGTGTACCAGACATGTGGGGTCAGGCTGTTTTACCAGGACATGTTCTGTCAGGCTGTGTTGTACCAGGACATGTCTGGTCAGGCTGTGTTGTACCAGGACATGTCTGGTCCTGGCTTGTTTACCAGGGAGTTGGTTAGGTGTATCCCCAGGTCAGGTCTGGTCAGGCTTGTGTATGTACCAGGCATTTTCTGGTCAGGCTGTGTGGTACCAGGACTGTCTGGTCGGGCTGTGTTGTACCAGGGCAGTCTGGGCACTGCTGTGTTGTGCCAGGCAGGGTCTGGCCAGGCATTGAGTTGTACCACGACATGTTCTGGTCAGGCTGTGTTGTACCAGGACATGTTGACGCTTTGTCCAATGTCTGTAGGTTGTGTACAGGAATGTTTGTCGGGCTGTGTTGGTACCAGACATGTCTGGTCAGGCTGTGATTTGCCAGGACGTTCCCTGGTCAGGATGTGTTGTACCAAGCGATGTATGGTCAGGCTGTATTGTGCCAGGACATTTCTGGTCAGGCTGTGTTTCATGGATATGTTTTTCATTCCTGTGTGTACCAGGACATGTTGTAAGCTGTGTGTACCAGTGTTGGAAGGTGTGTTTTCCCGGGACATGTCTGGTAGGCTGTGGTGGTACCAGGACGTCTGTCAGGCTGTGTTGTACCGGACATTTCTGGTAGGCTTTGTCGTACTAGGAACATATCTTGTCATTCTGTGTTGTTCCAGGACATGTCTGGTCAGGCTGGTTGTTGTACCACGGACCTTTTGGCAGGCTGAGTGGTACAGGACTGTTGGTCGGCTGTGTTGTACCAGGTACTTTTCTGGTCAGCTTGTGGTTGTACTAGGACAATATCGGGGTCAGTCTGTGTTGTTCAGGAACATTTTCCGGTGGGCTGTGTTGTCCCAAGGACTTTCGGGTCAGGCTGTGTTTTACCAGGACATGTCTGGTCATTCTGTGTGGTCCAGGCATTTGGGTGCGTTTGTACCAGGACATTGTCGGTCAGGTTGTTTGTTCCAGGACAGTCTGTCAGGCTGATGTGGTACCTGGACTTTTCTGGTCAGGCTTGTAGGACCATACATGTGGTCATGCAGTGTTTACATGGACATGTCCTGGTCCATTTGTGTGGTACCAGGACGTCGGGGTAGGCTGTGTTGTACCAGGACATTTCTTAAGGCTTTGTTTGTACTAGGACATATCTGGTCTTTCTTGTTGTTCTTTTCTGGCGGCCTTGTGGGTGGGGGTCTGTTGCTGTTGTAACAGGACATTTTGGTAATGCTGTTGCTAGGACTTATGGTCTTCTGTGTTTCTGGACATGGTTCAGTTGGGGTGGTACCAGGAGTCTGGTCAGGCTGTGTTGTACCCAGGACTTTTCTGGTCAGGCTTTGTTGTACTAGACATATTGGTCATTCTGTGTTGTTCCAGGACCAGTCTGGTCGGGCTGTTTTGTACAAGACATGACTGGTCAGGCTGTGTTTTACCAGTACATGTCAGGTGAGGCTGTTAATTCAGGCAAGTCTGGTCTTCTGTGTGGTATCCAGGGCAATGATGTCAGTCTTGTTGTACCATCATTTGGTAGGCTGTGTTGTTCCCAGGACCATGTCTGGTCAGGCTGTGTGGTACCAGATATTTCTTGAGTCCCGGCTGTTTTGGTACATAAATGTCTGGTCAGGCTGTGTTGTACCAGGACGTCTGGTAGGCAGTGTGGACCAGGACTATCTGGTCTTCTGGTTTTCCCGAACATGTCTTTGTCAGGCTGTGTTGTAACCTGGACAGTCTGTCATTCTGGTGTACAAGGCATGTCTGATCAGGCTGTGTTGTACCAGGACATATCTGCTCAGGCTGTGTTGTACCAGAACATGTCTGGTCAGTCTGTGTTGTACCAGGACATGTTTGATCAGGCTGTGTGGTACCAGGGCATGTCTGGTCAGGCTGTGTTGTACCAGGACATGTCTGGTCAGGCTGTGTTTTACCAGGACATGTCTGGTCAGGCTGTATTGTACCAGGACACGTCTGGTCAGGCCGTGTTGTTCCAAGACATGTCTGGTCAGGTTGTGTGGTACCAGGACATGTCTGGTCAGGCTGTGTGGTATCGTAACATGTCTGGTCAGGCTGTGTTGTACCAGGACGTCTGGTCAGGCTGTGTTGTACCATTACATTTCTGGTCAGGCTTTGTTGTACCAGGACATATCTGGTCATTCTGTGTTGTTCCAGGACATGTCTGGTCAGGCTGTGTTGTACCTCGATATGTCTGGTCATTCTGTGTGGTACCAGGACACGTCTAGCCATGCTGTGTTGTACCAGGACAGTTCTGGTCAGGTTGTGTTGTACCAGGACATGTCTGGTCAGTCTGTGTTGTACCAGGACATGTCTGATCAGGCTGTGTGGTACCAGGATATGTCTGGTCAGGCTGTGTTGCACCAGGACAAGTCTGGCCAGGCTGAGTTGTATCAGAACATGTCTGGTCAGGTTGTGTTCTACCAGGACATGTTTGGTCAGGCTGTGTGATACCAGGACATGTCTGGTCAGGCTGTGTTGTACCAGGACAGTTCTGGTCAGACTGTGTTGTACCAGGACATGTCTGGTCATGCTGTATTGTGCCAGGACATGTCTGGTCAGGCTTTGTTGTACCTGGACATGTCTGGTCATTCTGTGTGGTACCATGACATGTCTGGTAAGGCTGTCTTGTTCCGGGACATGTCTGGTCAGGCTGTGTGGTACCAGGACGTCTGGTCAGGCTGTGTTGTACCAGGACATTTCTGGTCAGGCTTTGTTGTACCAGGACGTCTGGTCAGGCTGTGTTGTACCAGGACATTTCTGGTCAGGCTTTGTTGTACCAGGACATATCTGGTCATTCTGTGTTGTTCCAGGACATGTCTGGTCAGGCTGTGTTGTACCTGGACATGTCTGGTCATTCTGTGTGGTACCAGGACATGTCTGGTCAGGCTGTGTTGTACCAGGACATGTCTGGTCAGTCTGTGTTGTACCAGGACATGCCTGGTCAGGCTGTGTGGTACCAGGACATGTCTGGTCAGGCTGTGTTGTACCAGGACATGCCTGGTCAGGCTGTGTTGTTCCAGGACATGTCTGGTCAGGCTGTGTGGTTCCAGGACATGTCTGATCAGGCTGTGTGGTACCATAACATGTCTGTTCAGGCTGTGTTGTACCAGGACATTTCTGGCCAAGCTTATTTGTACCAGGACATATCTGGTTATTCTCTGTTGTTCCAGGACATGTCTGGTCAGGCTGTGTTGTACCAGGACATGTCTGGTCAGGCTGTGTTGTACCAGGACATGTCTGGTCAGGCTGTGTTGTACCTGGACATGTCTGGTCATTCTGTGGTATCAGGACATGTCTGGTCAGGCTGTGTTGTACCAGGACATGTCTGATCAGGCTGTGTTGTTCCAGGACATGTCTGGTCATTCTGTGTGGTATCAGGACATGTCTGGTCAGGCTGTGTTGTACCAGTACATGTCTGGTCAGGCTGTGTTGTACCATAACATGTCTGGTCAGGCTGTGTTGTACCAGGACGTCTGGTCAGGCTGTGTGGTACCAGGACAGTTCTGGTCAGGCTGTGTTGTACCAGGACATGTCTGGTCAGGCTGTGTTGTACCTGGACATGTCTGGTCATTCTGTGTGGTACCAGGACATGTCTGGTCAGGCTGTGTTGTACCAGGACATGTCTGGTGAGGCTGTTATTCCAGGACATGTCTGGTCAGGCTGTGTGGTACCAGGACATGTCTGGTCAGGCTGTGTGGTACCAGGACATGTATGGTCAGGCTGCGTTGCACCAGGACGTCTGGTCAGGCTGTGTTGTACCAGGACATGTCTGGTCAGTCTGTGTTGTACCAGGACAGTTTTGGTCAGGCTGTGTTGTACCAGGACATGTCTGATCAGGCTGTGTTGTACCAGGACATGTCTTGTAAGGCTTTGTTGTACCAGGACATGTCTTGTCAGACTTTGTTGTACCAGGACAAGTCTGGGTAGGTTGTGTTGTACCAGGACATGTCTGGTCAGGCTGTGTTGTACCAGGACATGTCTGGTCAGGCTGTGTTGTACCAGGACATGTCTTGTAAGGCTTTGTTGTACCAGGACATGTCTTGTCAGGCTGTGTTGTACCAGGACAAGTCTGGTCAGGCTGTGTTGTACCAGGACATGTCTGGTCAGGCTGTGTTGTACCAGGACATGTCTGGTCAGGCTGTGTTGTACCAGGACATGTCTGGGCAGGGTGTGTTGTACCATAACATGTATGGTCAGGCTGTGTTGTACCAGGACAGTTCTGGTCAGGCTGTGTTGTACCAGGACATGTCTGGTCAGGCTATGTTGTACCAGGACAGTTCTGGTCAGGCTGTGTTGTACCATGACATGTTTGGCCAGGCTGTGTTGTACCATTATATGTCTGGTACAACACAGCCTGACCAGACTTTCAGTATAACAACTATCGTGAATGTGTTTCTGGTGAGGGCTTCGGGGGTCAAGGCCCCCGCGGTCCGGTGTAACTAGGTCCGATGGTACCAGCCAACCTGATGGTACCAGTACTAGCCTGATCAATCAGGCTGGTACTGTTGGCCGCACGCAAACTGTCATACGAACCACAGCCCGGCTGGTCAGGTACTGCCTTTAGGTGCCTGTCCAGTGCCTTCTTGAAGACAGTCAGGGGTCTATTGGTAATTCCCCTTATGTATGCTGGGAGGCAGTTGAACAGTCTTGGGCCCCTGACACTGTTGTCTCTCTGTGTACTCGTGGTGTCCTTGCTTATTATTGCAGGAATGTTGCATCGCCTACAAATATAAATACAGTCGCTGTTATTGAAATATAATTATAACTCGATATGTCTACGTTTAAATAAAAAAAAATAGAATATACGTATATGAGATTAACTTCAAAAACTGACTATTATGGCTTATTGGTCAAATTCAATTAATAAAGAGTAATATTTTTTCTAATAAAATTTTGGAAAGGTTTATTTATGTAAAACTTTGATAAAGTTTAAAATTTCTTCAAAATCTTAAAAAAGGTAATAAAATTGTTATAATTTTTATTAAGTTTATAAAATAGTTAAAAAAAATGGTTAAAACTATGACTATAATTTTTAAAGGGATGGACTGGTAAGCCAGTGGAAGGCCTCGGTCAGATGACCAAAACTCTAACAGCGGGTCATCATATAACTAAGACCAGCATCAGGAAACACTTGTCCTGTTCCCTGACAAACCTCACCTCACCTTAAATAATTATTATAATTAGGGAATACGCTGTATTCGTTAATACCTGGGAGAAAGAGGCAATGAGGTTTGATCCAAGGAAAGGTTCAGTTTATTGTATCGTGAGTTCCTCACCAGCATCGAGGAACTTCTCTTGGAGGGGAACGAAACTAGTAAATATGTTTACTGGAGCAGAACTCTTCTCCAGGCTGAGGGACTGACCACCTCAAAACTACGTCTTCGAGGGTGACAGACTGATTACATCGTCTTTACATCTCTGCTGCTTCTATAGCTACCTCTGTAATCAACTGAAGAAGCCTACTGTGCAGGCGAAATTTTTCGGGATAAAGTTGCCGAACTGTTGCACATGTGCCTCATCAACATTGTTTAATACATATTGGTAAAATTAATATAACTTGAGCTTGTGTACACAGGGAAAGTGGTGCTGCTGGTGGTGCTGTTGGTGGTGCTTCTGCTGGTGGTGCTGGACACCCGAGCAGCTCTTCATGTGTCACACTTCAGATACCATGATGGGGACGACGCCGACTTAAACCTTTCCTTACCAAAAGTGCTGAAGCTCCTCTCCCCGTCTTCCACCGCTGGAGCCATGAACATCAAACACAATTATCTTCCAGTACGGAAAAACAGCCAGGCGATGACTGACTCATTGCCCGACAGACACTTAAAATATATCGACAACCCCAAGCCCGGAAGGCAAGTTTTCCGAGCCGAGGAGGGCAGTAGGGTGATGCAACATCCTGACAGTATGATAATCCATCAACCCAACATCACAGCTTCTTCTATGCCTACGTCCTTCCCACTCAACTCTTCTGGACGCAGTCAGTCAAAAAGGTTAGCACTACTTCATCTTGTGTCGCAGTGTAACTAATTGGCAACTCTCATGAGTTTATGTTTTATCATCGTTTGCCATTAGGTTTCAACTCTTTATGTTACGCTTTCCACCGATTATTTCCTACCACGTTCTGTTATGAAGGATAACCTTGTACTCAGCAAAAAGTACTCAGTTTGGAAGTTATGGTCACAACATACAACCATTACCAGCAAGTTAAGAGAAAGTTATGTGAATATATTATGTAAACATATTTAATTACCCTCTATATTTTATTATTATTATTATTATTATTTTGATTATTACTGAAGCGATACACTCGTAAGGATCATTCAACTCCTGGGAAATGGAAGGCAATCCGGTTCGATCCAAGAAAGGGGAGAACAGGTCCAGTTCCTCGGATCAAGAGCCTTTCCTCTGTATCAGCCATAGATGTGCTCAAGACTTAAGAAGAGATCTAACGAAGGTCTTTTTTGTGGCATGCCCTTGTAGTTGTTGAAGGGCTGATCCAAGGTACTGGAACTACCCTCCCAGTCCTCAGTCTAGGCATTTAAAACAGAGTTTCCAAGCATAAATATTGGTTGTCCTGTTTTCTGATAAACTTTACCTAACCTTAAATATGAGTATTAGAGGCACACAGTAGTATCCTTTTTCTTTTTTTTTCATTAATACATCGGCCGTTTCCCACCAAGGTAGGGTGGCCCGAAAAAGAAAAACTTTCATCATCATTCACTCCATCACTGTCTTGCCAGAGGCATACCTACACTACAGTTATAAAACTGCAACATTAACACCCCTCCTTCAGAGTGCAGGCACTGTACTTCCCATCTCCAGGACTCAAAGTCCGGCCTGCCGGTTTCCCTGAACCCCTTCATAAATGTTACCTTGCTTACACTCCAGTAGCACGTCAAATCCTAAAAACCATTAGTCTCCATTCACTCCTGTTTAACACGGTCACGCATGCTTGCTGGAAGTCCAAGCCCTTCACACACAAAACCTCCTTTACCCCTTCCCTCCAGCCTTTCCTAGGCCAACCCCCACCCCACCTTCCCTCCACTACAGATTTGTATACTCTCGAAGTCATTCTATTTTGTTTCATCCTCTCTACATGTCCAAACCATCTCAATAACCCCCCCCCCCCAGCCTTCTGGATAATAGTTTTGGTAATCCCACACCTCTTCCTAATCTCCAAACTACGGATTCTCTGCATTATATTCATACCACACATTGCCCTCAGACATGACATCTCCACTGCCTCCAGCCTTCTCCTTGTTGCAACATTCACAACCTATGCCTCGCACCCATACATGAATGTTGGTATAACAATACTCTCACACATTCCCCCTTCTTTGCTTTCATGGATAAAGTTCTTTGTCTCCACAGACTCCTCAATGCACCTTTTTTCCCTAATCAGTTTTACGAGTCACCTCATCCTTCACAGACCCATCTGTTGATACGTCCACTCCCAAATATCTGAACACATTCACCTCCTCCATACTCTCTCTCTCTCCAATCTGATATACAATCTTCCTTTACCTAATTTTTTTTGTTATCCTCATCACCTTACTCTTTCCTATACTCACTTTTAACTTCCTTCTTTTACATACCCTACCAAACTCATCAACCAACCTCTGTAAATTCTCTTCAGAATCTCCCAAATGCACAGTGTCCTCAGCAAAGCGCAACTGTGATAACTCCCATTTTGTGTTAGATTCTTTATGTTTCAACCCCACACCTCTTGCCAACACCCGAGCATCCACTTCTCTTACAACTCCATCTATAAATATATTGAACAACCATGGTGACATCACACATCCTTGTCTAAGGCCTACTTTTACTGGGAAATAATCACCCTCTTTCCTACATACTCTAACCTGAGCCTCACTATCCTCGTAAAAACTTTTAACCGCTTTCAATAATCTACCTCCTATTCCATACATTTGCAACACCTGCCACATTGCCCCCCTATCCTCCCTATCACACGCCTTTACCAAATCCATAAATGCCACAAAAACCTCTTCACCCTTATCTAAATACTGTTTACCAATGTGTCTCACTGCAAGCACTTGGTCTATACACCCCCTAACTTTCCTAAAGCCTCCTTGTTCATATGCTATCCTACTCTCTGTCTTACTCATAGTTCTATCAATAATAACTGTTCCATACACTTTACCAGGTATACTCAACAGACTTATTCCCCTATAATTTTTACAGTTTCTTTTGTCCTCTTTGCCTTTATACAGAGAAACTATGCACGCTCTCTGCCAATCTCTAGGTACCTTACCCTTTTCCATACATTTATTAAATAAAAACATTAACCACTCCAAAACTATATCCCCACCTGTTTTCATCATTTCTATCTTAATCCCATCATTCCCAGCTGATTTATTCCCTTTCATTCCGCTCACTGCCCCACGCACTTGCCCCACACTCACAACTGGTTCTTCCTCACTCCTTCAAGATGTTATTCCTCCTTGCCCTATACACGAAATCACAGCTTCCCTATCTTCATCAACATTTAACAATTCCTCAAAATATTCCCTCCATCTTCCCGACACCTCTTACTCTCCATTTAATAACTCTCCTCTCCTATTTTTAAGTAAAAATCCATTGTTTCCCTAGGCTTTCTCTAGTTATTAATCTCACTCCAAAACTTTTTCTTATTTTTCACAAAATTTGTTGATAACATTTCACTCTCTCATTTGCTCTCTTTTTGCATTGCTTCACCACTCTTTTAACCTCTCTTTTTTCTCTCCATATACTCCTCCCACCTTACATCACATCTACTTTGTAAAAAACCTTTCAAACGCTAACTTTTTCTCCCTTACTACTCTCTTTACATCATCAATCCACCAATCGCTCTTCTTCCCTCCCACACCCACTTTCCTGTAACCACAAACTTCTGCTGAACACTCTAACACTATATTCTTAAACTTACTCCATACATCTTCTACCCCATTGCCTATACTCACTCTTGCCCATCTGTCCTCCAACAGTTGTTTATATCTTACCCTAACTGCCTCCTCCTTTAGTTTCTAAACCTTCACTTCTCTCTTACTTGCTGCTTCCATTTTCCTTGTATCCCATCTACCTTTTACGCTCACTGTAGCTACCACTAAAAAGTGATCTGATATATCTGTGGCCCCTCTATAAACATGTACATCCTGAAGTCTACCCAACAATCTTTTATCTGTCAATACATAATCCAACAAACTACTCTCATTTCGCCCTACATCATATATTGTATATTTATTTATCCTCTTTTTCTTAAAATATGTATTACCTAAAACCAAACCCCTTTCTATACAACGTTCAATCAAATGCTCCTCATTATCATTCAGGTCCCCTGCCACAATTACTCTTTCACTTGGTTCAAAAGTTCCTACACACCTGCTTAACATCTCCCAAAATCTCTCTCTCTCCTCTACATTCCTCTCTTCTCCAGGTGCATACACACTTATAATGACACACTTTTCTCATCCAACCCTTATTTTAATTCACATAATCCTTGAATTTATACATTTATAGTCCCTCTTCTCTCTCCATAACTTATCCTTTAACATTATTGCTACCTCTTCCTTAGCTCTGACTCTCTCAGGTACTCCTGACTTAATCCCATTTATTTCTTCACACTGAAATTCACCTACCGCCTTCAGGTTTGTTTCGCTTAGGGCTAGAACATCCAACTTCCTTTCATTCATAACCTTTGCAATCACTTCTTTCTTTTCATCTGCGCTACATCCACGCACATTCAAACATCCCAATTCTATAAAGTTATTCTTTTTCTTCTATTTAATAATTTATACAGGAGAAGGGTTTACTAGCCCATTGCTCCTGGCATCTACTCGCCTCCTACAACACGCATAGCTTACGGAGGAAGAATTCTGTTCCACTTTCCCATGGAGGTAAGTAAAAAAAAAACAAGAACAAGAACTAGGAAGAAAATAGAAGAAAGCCCAGAGGGATGTGTATATATATGCTTGTACAAGTATGTGTAGTGAGACCTAAGTGTAAGAAGAAGTAGCAAGACATATCTAAAAATCTTGCATATTTAAGAGACAGAAAAAAGACATCAGCAATCCTACCAGCAATTCCATTTTACACTCACTTGGCAGGACGGTAGTACCTCCCTCGGCGGTTGCTATCTAACAACCATCCAAGCTTGTAATTGTTTTACATGATGGTAGCATTGCTGGTGTCTTTTTCTGTCTCATAAATACGCAAGATTTCAGATATGTCTTGCTATTTATACTTACACTTAGGTCACACTACACATACATGTACAAGCACATATATACACACCCCTCTGGGTTTTCTTCTATTTTCTTTCTAGTTCTTGTTCTTGTTTATATCCTCTTATCTCCATGGGAAAGTGGAACAGAATTCTTCCTCCGTAAGCCATGCGTGTTGTAAGAGGCGACTAAAATGCCAGGAGCAAGAAGCTAGTAACCCCTTCTCCTCTATAAATTACTAAATTTAAAAAGAGAAACGGTGGGATGCGGCCGGTTTGTTGCCCACGAACGAGTGGTATTGATCAATAACAACACTGCGACTAGCCAAGGACTCGAGCCCATGCTGCTTTGGCCTGCCTCATGGTGGAGGAAAACTCATGACGCCTTAATCCACTGGACCACACATTCCTTAAGAGTAGCGCATCAAGGGGAACTGGATGTTATACATACATACATACATACATATAATATATTATATATATATATATATATATATATATATATATATTATATATATATATATATAATATATATATATATATATACATATTATATATAAGATTTGTACATTTGCACTTTATATAGTTCGGGGAAGAAATTTCTGAATTCGGCGCAGAGTTCAGCAAACGTGAAAGTGATTTCGAAGACTGTGCTGAAGGTGTTCAGTGACGAGGACGAGGAGAAGGAAGCATGTGAATATTGGTGCTTAAGTGACGCCGGCGTGTTCTACTGCTGTGACCACACCCGTTAGTGACGTAATGTGAGTCCTGTCTACCCACTGCTGTTACCACACCAGTTACTGACGTAAGGTGAGTCCTGTCTACCCACTGCTGTTACCACACCAGTTAGTGACGTAAGGTAAGTCCTGTCTACCCACTGCTGTTGCCACACTAGTTAGTGACGTAAGGTGAGTCCTGTCTACTCACTGCTGTTACCACACCAGTTAGTAATGTAAGGTGAGTCCTGTCTACCCACGGCTGTGACCACACCCGTTAGTGACGTACGTGAGTCCTGTCTTCCCATTGCTGTTACCACACTAGTTAGTGATGTAAGGTGAATCCTGTCTACCCACTGCTGTTACCACACCCGTTAGTGACGTAAGGTGAGTCCTGTCCACCCACTGCTGTTACCACACTAGTTAGTGACGTAAGGTGAGTCCTGTCTATCCACTGCTGTTACCATACCCGTTAGTGACGTAAGGTGAGTCCTGTCTACCCACTGCTGTTACCACACCCGTTAGTGACGTAAGGTGACTTCTGTCTACCCACTGCTGTGATCACATCCGTTAATGACGTAATGTGAGTCCAGTCTACCCACTGCTGTGACCACACCCGTTAGTGACGTAAAGTGAGTCCTGTCTATCAACTGCTGTTACCACACTAGTTAGTGACGTAAGGTGACTCCTGTCTACCCACTGCTGTGACCACACCCGTTAGTGACATAAAGTGAGTCCTGTCTACCCACTGCTGTTTCCACACCCGTTAGTGACGTAAGGTGACTCCTGTCTACCCACTGCTGTGACCACACCATTTAGTGACGTAAGGTGACTCCTGTCTACCCACTGCTGTGACAAGACCCGTAAGTCATGTGAAAAATATATATATCTCTCCATGAAGAAATTATTATTCACTGCTCTGAATTCCATCATTTACTCTACGGTGAAACTTGTGGTAATGATAACATCTCACTTAAGTTGATCAATCATAAAAAAAAAGAGTAACTAAAATATATTTTTTGTTGTGGTTAAGATGGTTCACTTAGTCACAGGTAACTTCCATTAATCAATATTTTCTAACTCAAGACAATTAAATTGCTTGAACAATGAATGTGTAATTCTCTCAGTGTGTGTATATATACTGAGAGTTTACTGTGATCCAGTGGTGGACCTACATTTTTGGGGCCCTGAAGTTTGAACTGTTATGGGGGTTCCTTCGCAACCCCTTCTCATACAGTAGACCAAAAAATTAAGCAATGTGGAGTAAAGTGGCTTCTGGGGCCCTTACGGGATTAAGGGGCCTGAAGCTTAAGCTTTATTAGTCTCATAGAAGATCCGCTTCTGCTTTGATGTAGAATTTAGGGATTAAGATAGTTCTTGTCGGGTGGAGAAGAGGTGACAGACACCCTAGGACCCTCCGTTTTCGATGGTTTTTAAACCCACTTACCCAACAAATTTTTAATAATTAATTTACTTTATTGCAGTTTCATTTTAATTTCACATTTTTATTTTTTGTTGCAGGTGTTTATGAAGGTGTTGAAGCAGAAGTGACGGAACACGCCCACCGAGGAACACTGTCACTTGTAAAGTCATATTTAATTTAATAAATTATAAAGTCTGTTTTAGTGTTAGTTTTTAAGCATGAAGAATCACCACTAATCAAAATTTTTAAACCCTAAACTTGGGATTAAAATAAATTCATTGTATAAATAATATTACATCCCTCTCAGTTTATATACTCAACTCTTTCTAAAAACAATACGGCTTCAGTGTTTTCCCAGTAAATGTTCTATAAGCCTAAAATAGGCTTGGTTGGCTGGTTAAGTGCAAAGCCTATTAGTTACTCGAAGATCGTCCAGGCTGGCCATGTCATGTTGACTTCCACCAAAGTATATTTTAATCTCTAAAAATAGGAATTAGGTAAAGTTAGTCAAGAAACAGGACAAGTGTTTCCTGACGCGGGTCTTAGTCATATGTGACCCCCACAGATGGAGCTTTTGATACTGGCCGAGGCCTTCCCCTGCTTACCTCTCCACCATCAAAAAAGAAAAATTTGGGGAGTCAGATAAGAAACGCTGTTTGGGCTCCACAGACGAGGCCGACCTCTGCTACGTCTTGCGCTAAGGACCCGTTGTCTTTATTTTGTTTTATTTTTTAAAAAAAAACATTAGGGAAGTATTTTTTTTAAACAAAATTAAAAGGTTTAAAATTGCCATGGGGTATAAAAACCCAAAATTTTAAAAAAATATATTATTAAGGGAAATGGGAGTTAGGGCCCGTTTTAAGTTTTTGGCCAGGGTTTTTTAAGATAGGCCGGGTTTCTAAGTTAGGCCGGGTTTTCTAAGTTAGGGGGGTTTCTAATTTAGGACGGGTTTTTAAATTTAGGAAGGGTTTTCTAAGTTGGGCAGGTTTCAAAGTTAGGACGGGTTTTTAAAGTTGGGACGGTTTCTAAGTTGGACGGGTTTCTAAGTTTTAGGCCAGGTTTCTGTTGGAAAGGGTTTCAAAGTTAGCCCGGGTTTCAAAGTTAGGACGGGTTTTTAAAGTTAGGGGGTTTTTAAAGTTAGGACGGGTTTCTAATTGGGCCAGGTTTTAAAGTTAGGCAGGTTTTTAAGTTAGGCCAGGTTTCAAAGTTGGACAGGTTTCTAAGTTGGGCCCAGGTTCAAAGTTAGGGGTTTCTAATTTAGGCCGGTTTCTAAGTAGGGGGTTTTCTAGTTAGGCCGGGTTTCTAGTTAGGAAGGTTTCTAAGTTAGGCCGGGGTTTCAAAGTTAGGCCGGTTTCAAAGTTAGGCCAGGTTTCAAAGTTAGGGACAGGTTTCAAAGTTAGGCCAGGTTTCTAATTTAGGCCGGTTTCAAAGTTGGGCCCAGGTTTCAAATTTTAGGACAGGTTTCAAAGTTAGGCGGTTTCAAGTTAGGCGTTTTAAGTTACCGGTTTTCCCGTTGGAAGGTTTCAAAGTTAGGCCAGGTTTCTAAGTTAGGAGGTTTTCTAGTTGACGGGTTTCAAGTTAGGCCCGGGTTTTCTAAGTTAGGGAGGTTTCTAAGTTCCCAGGTTTCTAAGTTAGGACAGGTTCTAAGTTAGGCAGGTTTCTAAGTTAGGCAGGTTTCTAAGTTGGCCCGGGTTTTCTAAGTTGGACAGGTTTTAAGTTAGGCCGGTTTCTAAGTTAGGCCAGGTTTCTAAGTTAGGCCAGGTTTCTAAGTTAGGCCAGGTTTCTAAGTTAGGACAGGTTTCTAAGTTAGGCCAGGTTTCTAAGTTAGGACAGGTTTCTAAGTTAGGCCAGGTTTCAAAGTTGGACGGTTTTAAGTTAGGCCGGTTTTAGTTAGGACAGGTTTCAAAGTTACCCCCCGGGGGTTTCTAAGTTAGGACAGGTTTTAAGTTGGCGGTTTCAAAGTTGGGACGGGTTTTTAAAGTTAGGCCGGGTTTTAAAGTAGGACGGGTTTTCTAGTTAGGACGGTTTCTAGTTGGACAGGTTTCTATTTAGGCAGGTTTTAATTTAGGACAGGTTTCTAAGTTAGGACAGGTTTCTAAGTTAGGACAGGTTTCTAAGTTAGGCCAGGTTTCTAAGTTAGGACAGGTTTCTAAGTTAGGACAGGTTTCTAAGTTGGGAAACAAGAAAAAGTTTTAAGTTGGACATTTTTTTAGAACGGTTTCAAAGTTGGACAGGTTTCTAAGTTAGGCCGGGTTTTCTAAGTTAGGCCATTTTCAAGTTAGGCCGGTTTTCAAGTGGGACGGTTTTCTAGTTGGACGGGTTTTTCTGTAGGACGGGTTTTCTAAGTTGGGGCCGGTTTCAACTTAGGACGGTTTCAAAAGTTAGGACGGTTTTAAGTTGGACGGTTTCTAAGTTAGCCGGGTTTTTAAACTTGGAAAGGTTTTTAAGTTGGGGGAAGGTTTTTGTTAGGCCAGGTTTTAAGTTAGGACATTTTTCTAAGTTAGGCCAGGTTTCAAAGGGGCAGGTTTTGTTGGGACAGGTTTCTAAGGGGACGGTTTTAAGTTGGCCAGGTTTTCTACTTAGGACAGGTTTCAAAGTTAGGACGTTTCTAATTTAGGACGGGTTTTCTAAGTTAGGCGGGTTTCTAACTTGGGAAAGGGTTTCAAAGTTGGACGGGTTTCTAATTAGGACAGGTTTCTAGTTAGGCAGGTTTCAAGTTGGAAAGGGTTTTCTAAGTTGGGAAGGTTTCAAAGTTAGGAAGTTCTAAGTTGGGACGGTTTTAATTGGGCCCGGTTTTCTATTGGACGGTTTCTAAGTTAGGACAGGTTTCAAGTTAGGCAGGTTTCTAAGTTAGGCCAGGTTTCAATTAGGAAGGTTTTCTAAGTTGGAGGTTTCTAGTTGGGACGGTTTTAAGTTAGGCAGGTTTCTAAGTTAGGGACAGGTTTCTAGTTGGGCCCAGGTTTTTTTTTCAAAGTTGGGACGGGGTTTTAAAGTTGGGGACAGGTTTTAGTTAGGCCGGGTTTTCTAATTTTGGGACAGGTTTCTAGTTAAAAAGGTTTCAAGTTGGCCAGGTTTTAAGTTAGGACGGTTTTAAGTTAGGCAGGTTTCAAAGTTGGGGCCAGGTTTCTAAGTTGGGACGGGTTTCTAAGTTGGGCAGGTTTCTAAGTTGGCCGGGTTTTTCTAAGTTGGAACGGTTTCTAGTTAGGCCAGGTTTCTAAGTTGGCCAGGTTTCAAAGTTAGGACAGGTTCAAAGTTGGGCCCCAGGTTTCTAAGTTAGGAAGGTTTCTAAGTTAAGACGGTTTCTAAGTTAGGACAGGTTTTAAGTTGGGCCATTTTCAAGGTTAGGGGGTTTTTCTAAGTTGGGGACGGTTTTAAAATTTGGGACAGGTTCTAAGTTGGCAGGTTTCTAAGTTGGACGGGTTTTCTAATTAGGACGGTTTCTCTTAGGCAGATTTCTAAGTTAGGACAGGTTTTAAGTTAGGAAGGTTTCAAAGTTAGGCGGGTTTTCTAATTTAGGACGGGTTTTTAAGTTGGGGACGGTTTCTAAGTTAAGCCAGGTTTCAAAAGTTAGGCCGGGTTTCTAAGTTAGGCCGGTTTTCAAAGTTAGGCGGTTTCAAAAGTTAGGACAGGTTTCAAAGTTAGGAAGGTTTTAGTTAGGACGGGTTTTCCAATTTAGGACGGTTTTAAAGTTAGGACATTTTTTTAAATTTGGGACGGGTTTTTAATTTGGGGGCGGGTTTCTATTTAGGCCGGTTCAAGTTGGACATGTTTCAAAGTTGGGACAGGTTTCTAAGTTGACAGGTTCAAAGTAGGACATTTTTCTAAGTTAGGACAGGTTTCTAAGTTAGGACAGGTTTCTAAGTTAGGACAGGTTTCTAAGTTAGGACAGGTTTCTAAGTTAGGACAGGTTTCTAAGTTAGGACAGGTTTCTAAGTTAGGACAGGTTTCTAAGTTGGACCGGTTTTCTAAGTTAGGACAGGTTTCTAAGTTAGGACCAGGTTTCTAAGTTAGGACAGGTTTCTAAGTTAGGACAGGTTTCTAAGTTAGGACAGGTTTTAAGTTAGACGGTTTCTAAGTTGGACGGGTTTTCTAGTTGGGACAGGTTTTAATTTAGGACAGGTTTTAGTTAGGGTTTGGGTCCAAAAAATTTTTTTACTTCTTTTATCAATGAAAAATACCAGTTAATCTATAAAAAATCTGAAAATCAATTTTTAAATTGTTTACACACACCACACACACACCACCACACACACACAACACAACACACACCACACACACAATATTAATTTTTTTAATATATTTAATATATATATATATATTATATATATATTTTTATATATATATTTATTTATAATTTAATATATATATTTTTTATATTAAAAATTTTATATTTTATATATTTATATTATATATATTGTATGTATGTCGTCCCGAATATGTAAACTGGTCAATTTAGCAAGAACTATTAAATTTTAAGCCTTTTCTAAAATTTTCTTTTTAACGTTTAAAGATATATTTTTTTCTTTAAATGTTGATGTAAAAATTTATAATTTTGCCCCAAAAAGGGAAAATTTAGAAACTTACCTAACCTTATTTACAAACGCAATTTATTTTAGTCTAACCCAAATAATTGATTTTAGATTTGTTTAAAAAATTTAAAATTAAAAAAACAGTGAAAAAATTTTTTTTTTCGTTAGGTTCAGAATGATTTTGGCCGGGAAAATTTTTGATACACAAATTTTTAATTGCCTAATGGCAAGATGAACGTTGCATTTAACCAAGATCGCAGTTCTGCCTATTTGGCCCACCCCTATATTATATATATATTTTTATATATATATATATATATATATATATATATATATATATTTTATATATATTTTATATTTTTTATTATATATTTTATATATGTGTGTGTTTGTTGTGTTTTGTGTGTGTGGTGTGTGGTGTGTGTGGTTGTTGTGTTTCCTTACACCACATATATATATTGTGTATATTAGTTGTATTGGATATACAACTATATTAGGGTATTGGGGGAAAATGGAAGGAAAATTTTGAGGAACTGTTAAATGTTGATAAGATAGGGGCGTGTTTCGTGTATAGGGAAAGGGGGAATAACTCTTGTGGAGTGAGGGAAAAGCCAGTTTTGAGTGGGGGGAAATTCGTAGGCGAGGTAAAATGAAAGTGGGTAAGGCAGCCGGGGTTGAGGGATAAAAATACAAAGTTAAAAGCAGGTGGGGTTAGTTTTGGAGGGTTTTTGGGCAATTATTTAAAAAATGTTTGGAAAAGGGTAAGGTCCTAGGGGTTTGGGAGGGCATGCATGTTTCCCTTTTTTAAAGGCAAAGGGGACAAAAAAGAGTGCAAAAAATTTTGGGGTAAGTTTTTGGTATACTGTAAAGTGTATGGTAGGTTTTTATTGAAAGAATTAAGGTAAAACGGAATAGGTAGCAGATGAACAAGGGGCTTTAGGAAAGGTAGGGGGTGTGGACCGGTGTTTACGTGAACTATAAGTGAAAAAGTATTTGATAGGCCCAAAGAGGTTTTTGTGGGTTTATGGATTTTGGAAAAAAAGGGGTAACGGGTAGTAAGGGGCAAGTGGCGTGTTGCAGGTGTATGGTGTAGGAGGGAGGTTACTGAAAACAGGAGAGTTTTTGAGGATAGTGAGGCTCAATTAAGTATGTAGGAAAGAGGGAGATTATTTCCGTAAAAGTAGGCCCTTTGACAAGGATGTGTGAGGTCACCCTGGGTTTTTTAATATATTTTTAGACGGGGTTGCAAGAGAAGTAATGCGAGGGTCTTGGCAAGAGGGGCGGGGGTTAAAAAAATAAAAAAATCAGCATAAAATGGGGTTGTCACAGTTGCTCTTTGCTGATGAATGTGCTCTTGGGGGATTCTGAGGGAAGTTTTCAGAGGTTGGTGGATGAATTTGGTAGGGAATGTAAAAGAAGAAAATTTAAAAAGTGAATACAGGAAAGAGTAAGGTTATGAGGATAACAAAAGATTAGGTGATGAAAGATTGGATTTTCAGATTGGAGGGAGGAGTAAGGAGGAGGTGAATGTTTTCAGTATTTGGGAGTGGACGTGTCAGCGGATGGGTCTGTGAAAGATGAGGTGAATCATAGAATGATGAGGGGAAAAAGGGTGAGCGGTGCACTTAGGGTTGTGGAGACAAAGAACTTTGTCCTTGGAGGGAAAAAAGGGGAATGTATGAGAGTATTAGTTTTACCAACGCCTTTATGGGGGTGAAGCATGGGTGATGAATGTTTGCAGCGGAGAAGGCTGGAGGCAGTGGAGATGTCATGTCTGAGGGCAATGTGTGGTTTTGAATATAATGCAGAGAATTCGTAGTTTGGAAGTTAGGAGGAGGTGCGGGATTACCAAAACTGTTGTCCAGAGGGGTGAGGAAGGGTTGTTTTAGGTGGTTCGGACATGTTTGAGAGAATGGAGCGAAAGAATGACTTCAAGAGTGTATCAATCTGTAGTGGAAGGAAGGCGGGTAGAGGTCGGCCTAGGAAAGGTTGGAGGGAGGGGGTAAAGGGGTTTTGTGTGCGAGGGCTTGGACTTCCAGCAGCATGCATGAGCGTGTTGATAGGGTGAAATGGAGACAAATGGTTTTAATACTTGAGTGGTGTTGGAGTGTGAGCAAAGTAAAAATTATGAAGGGATTCAGGGAAACCGCAGGCCGACTTGAGTCCGGGAGATGGGAAGTACAGTGCTGCACTCTGAAGGAGGGGGTTAATGTAGAAAGTTTAAAAAACTGTAGTGTAAACACCCTTCTGGCAAGAAAAAGGGGGAATGGAATGATGTAAAAATTTTCTTTTTCGGGCCACCCGCCTTGGTGGGAATGGGGCCCCAGTGTGTTAATAATAATAATATTAATATATTATATATATATAATATATATATATATTATATATATATTAGCGTGCCGAATATGTAAAACTGGTCAATTAGCAAGAACTCATTTAAAATTAAGTCCTTTCTAAAATTTTCTCCTATACGTTTAAAGATATATTTTTTTTCATTAATGATAATGTAAAAAAAATTAATTTTGCACCAAAAGAATCTTAGAAAACTTATCTAACCCTATTATGAGAGGAACAATTTATTTTAGCCTAACGTAACTAAATATATTTTAGATTTGTTTACAGTAATTTAATACTAAACAAACACAGTGAAATATTTTTTTTTCGTTAAGTTCAGAATGATTTTGGCGAAATTATTGCATACACAAATTTTCACTTGTCCTATATGGCAAGATGAGCGTTGCTATTTAAGCCAAGATCGCAAGTTCTGCCTATTCGGCACGACATATATATATAATATATATATATATATATATATATATATATATATATATATATATATATATATATATATATATATATATATTCCGTTATCCTCAGATCGATTTCCACTGATTTATGACAAAAACAAATTTTCGTTCGGCTTATTCGGCAAAGTGAACCCTTGATCGGCTTATTCAGCACGAGAGAGAGAGAGAGAGAGAGAGAGAGAGAGAGAGAGAGAGTAATGCTTACAGATGACACAATCATAATTCTGAAAACAGGATCTGACATTCAGTATTTCTTCTGGCCAAGACATAACAATATACAGGTGAGACATAGTTGGAGTGTGACCGTCAGCACTACACCTCAAGACATAAAAAGTTTAACTTTGTCGATTCTGTTTTAAAAAGTCTCGCCTGGCTGCCGAATTTTGTATCAGTTTCGCTCTCAGACGTACGACACATTGTATCACAACTTCGCTGCCAGATGCATTATGAATTATGTCACACCGTCGCTGCTAAATGCTTGTCTGTTTAAGTCAACCTTGCTGCCAAACGCATGACATGTACATACCTATATGTGGCTGCAGGGGTCGATTCACAGCTCCTGGCCTAGCCTCTACGCTAGTCGCTATATGTGTCACAGCGTTCCTACCAGACGCATGACATGTGTCACAGCCTTGCTGCCAGATGCATTACAGGCTTTACAGCCTTGCTGCCATACGAATGGCGTGTCATAGCCTTACTACCAGACACATGACGTGTGTTGCAACCTTGCTGCCAGACGCGTGACATGTATTACAACCTTGCTGCCAGACGCACGATACCGTCATAGCCTTGCTGCAAGACTCATAACGTGTTACAGTCTTGCTGCCAGAACCGTGACATGTGTCATAGCCTTTCTGCTAGACACATGGCGTCATAGCTTTGCTGCCATACGTATGACGTCATAGCCTTGCTGCCAGATGCATGATACTGACACAGTCTTCCTGCCAGTTACATGACATCATAGCTTTGCTACCAGTCACACGACGTCATAGCCTTGTTGCTGGACATATGACGTCATAGTCTTGCTGCCAGACGCATGACGTCAAGGCATTGTGCCAGATGCGTGTGTGTCAACATTGTTGCCAGACGCATGACGTCATAGCCTTGTTGCCAGACGTATGATATGTGTCACATGCCAGACATGACATATATAATATTCTTGCACACAACTTGCTCCTCAATTAAATCGTTGAATCGACTGAATAAAAATTCTTCATGCATTTTTATGCACTCGAAACTTCACAGAAATTTTAATATATGCTAATTTTTAGTTAGTATAAATTACGGATGTTTATTTAAATAAATATTAACCTATATTTGCATTTAATTACTAAGCAATAAAAATTAAAGATCTTCTTTTACGTCTGGCAGCAGTAGACATATTGTAAAATCTCAAGTGTGCATTTTCTCGCGTTATTTTTTTTTTTTCATCTTTTTCTCCAGATTTCTACTATTAGAATTTTGACATTATGTCACGGAATTTAATTTCTGTAGTTTGTGATTGGAACACCAATATAGCCAAAGTCTCTTCTCAAAACTGATGTTGTCAAGCTTAGAATATTTTCTAGTTTGGTTTCAGTCACAAAGTTAGGCTTCACATTCTTGATTAATAATAACTAATCCACTACACGAGGGTCAATAAACCTTACATATCACATCACCATCACACACATACCTTACATGTCACGTCACCACCAAACACATACACCTTACATATCACGTCACCACCACACATATACACCTTACATATCACGTCACCACCACACACACACCTTACATGTCATGTCACCACCACACATATACACCTTACATATCACGTCACCACCACACACATACACCTTACATGTCAGGTCACCACCACACACGCACACACACACACATTACATATCCCGTCAGCACCACACACATACACCTTACATGTCATGTCACCACCACACATATACACCTTACATGTCACGTCACCACCACACACACACACCTCTCAGTTTATATATATTGCTTCTGATATTTACAAGCTTTCCTTCTGTGTTCATACATAAAAACTTTATAAGTTTGTAACTTAAGTTTCATTGTTTTTCTTTGCTTTTCTTAAATTTCTCTGGGTTTCTCCGTGTGTTTTAATATGGTGGCTTTTATGTTTGTTTGTGATACCATTGGACTGGCGGAGATTTTTAAAATATTTTTGTTTCATTTCTTGTAGTCTTAGTTCATATAGATCTTTCTTAATATTTGGTGTGTGTGTGCTCGCTTATTTGTACCCATTTATTTGTGGTTTCAGGGGTTAATTTATAGCTTCTGGCCCGGCCTCTTCGCTGGTCGCTACTAGTTCCACTCTCTCCCTGCTCCTATAGCATTATCATGTGTGTCTGTGTACTCACCTAGTGTGTGCAGTTTTAGGCAGCGTTTCACAGTTCGTGTGTGTGTCTTACACATACAAAAAAAAAAGAGACCGCCACATATATCAACATGCATGTGAGTGCTTAGTTCAGGTTCCAGTGAGTTGTGGTGAGTTGCACTCCAGCAACCGGGTAGAGAAGCGGTGCAGCAGAGATGGTTAGTGCTACTCACTGGAGCTCCACCTTCCTCACACGCCCATCACACCGCCACACGCCCCCACCTCGACGAGAACCGCCTTCCTTAACATTGGTGAGTTTTGCCCCTCTGAAATGTCAATGTTTATCAATGTTTGACATTACAGAAGGGAGGGTCAGAATGATCCCTAACCATCATGGTTCAGCTTGTAGCTTTATAAATATGGGAGAAACCTTGGCAGACACAGCGTAGTGTGTAAGGAAGATCCTGGCTCTATTGAATAATTCTGTTATTATAGTTCATAACTCCTGTGGAACAAACTCCTCCTGTCAGTACACAAGAAATTTTATACAAGCGTAGTCAGGTGAGTGGCTGGATTTGTAAGGTTCCTGAGTGGGCGAATTACAAGTCACAAGCACTGCAGGAGGCCTACCCGTCTTTTTGATAACTTAGGTAAACAAGATGAGTTGGACTACAGGTTTGGCTAAACTGAAAGCTCCTTGGATAAATCCTGTTGATCATATTTTGTATACGGATTAGCGCAACTTTATTGCAAGCGAGGTTCGCATCCCAGCCTGATGCTGAGATGTTGAACAGTCAGGCTGAACTTTACGTTAATTGAAACATGTACGAGTCCTGACACAGATCAAACAGTTCACATAGCTTAGATTCTTTAAGTATCAGAATATACGGTGAAATATTGCAAAACCGCGATCTGAATTCCTTCGTCCGGTCTTGAAAATTATTTAACAGTCGGTTTAATTATGAGTTAACAAGAATGACCTGTGTTCCACTAAGGTTCTATTAAGACTCAATTTCCATCCCATCTAGAATTTCTAAAATACTTTTTTTGTGAATTTAATAATAATAATTCAAATTATTTATTTGTAATTTGATGTTGGATGTTGAACTCATAAAATGGTTAAACAAATTATGTTTATTTACAGGCATTTTATGTCGAAAATTTTTTAGTAAATATTTGTTGTAATGCTCAGCTTCCGAACTTAGTGACAAACTTAATGTAAATTCTCTAATATTAAACAAGTTGTGCTATGGAAAATAATATAAGTGTAGAGCAAGAACTTATTTTTGGACAACCTCCATAAATGCCTAACCAAGACTAGAAGTTAAATTTTGTGTTAGGTTAGGTTGGGTTAATTAGACTAGGTTTCTCATCAAAAAACAGCTTTCATCCCGTTTCCTCAAAATTTTAACTAGCTTCATTGCACAGTCATTCCAATATTAGAAAATTTGCATAATCAAAAATATTTGCCTCAATATTTACCGTTCTTGTGAAATATGCGAGTTCGTACTGGAGTGTTTTATTGAAGGTATAAAATATGTCAGGAACCAGGACAAGAGTTTCTTGACGCTGTGGGTCATATGATGACCCACAGCTTTGGGTCATATGATGACCCACATCTGGAGCTTTTGGTCATCTGATCGAGGCCTTCCACTGGCTTACCAGTCCGCCCTTAAAAATCATGGTTATTATAATTGTAACCAGTTTTCAGTTATTTTCTAATGAAGTTATTTTTCATTGTTATAGACGTAATGTAGATTTTGAAGTCATTAACAAACTCACAATTTAGAGAGGAAGCTTCAGCCCACCCTAGAAAATTATCTCGTTTCCTGTACAAACCATAAATTAATAATGAATTATACCGTATAAGGTATTGTCACTTTATCTTCAAGCATTAGAAATGTGTTATGTGTTAGGAGTATACGTGGCTGTGATGGTGGGTACGTGGGCAGCAAGTGAAGGGATGCCAGCACCCCGCGGCACCCTGCAACCTCAACAGTCAGTGGCACAGTTGTCATCCTGGTCTGTCCCTTTCACCATTCCGGCGCTCCTCTTGTATCCTCCTCCGTTCCTGCCATACTCTTCTTTTGGAACAGCGTTATCAGCTTCGTCGTTAGCTTCAGGGTGAGGCATATACTAAAATTCATTGTTATATTTATAATCAAAACATTTTTTTTTTTTACCTTTCGGCAATCTTCATACATTTCACAATTGATCCACAAATTTGGGATAAATCTTTTGATGGGATTACGGTCCATCTTGGACCAGAGCTTCATAATGGTCCAGGACGGACCGAAACGTCGTCATAAGATTTATCTCCGATTTGAGGTTAGTTTTAAGTTGTTCCAGCCACGATATTGTGACTTTTTTTTATTCTTGGCCATATTACATTGTTCATCCAGAGAGTTAAGTTTAATACTTTTATTATGCACCTCATACTCATCCTGTGGCAATCAACCAGACAGACGGAAAGGTTTCTTATTGAGGGAGGTTCAAGCATGGAGGCAGTGAAGACTGTCAACCAGACGACGGTAGTCAAGGTGTACACCGACGACTGGGATGACATGGAGACGTGTCCCTACTGGTGCAAGAAGGAGAATGGCGCCATCCACTGCTGCCCGGAGGAAGGGAGTTAGTATCCTATCTTAATTTATTTTGAGATTGACAATTTAGCGTCTATTTTTCTTCTCACTCGTGACTTGATTGCTTGACATTGAACACTCAGACTACCTAATTCAACCCTGGTAAGTCAGCAGTCACTGTTTCTGTTGCCTAACATCGGGTTAACGACTACCTCACCTCCATGTGTGTCTTCCGTTTCGTCGCGGTCCCCGCTATAGGGCATGCACCATTGAACGGGTTATATTTTGGTGAAGATCCTTCTCATATGGTTTTCCCTCACGATTAACCTAACAACAGCAAATGATAGTGATCCAGGACGAATTGAAACTTCTCCCCGTTCTCAAACTGTGGCCTTATTGAGAATTAGTTATTATGGATGAGTGTGAGGTTTAATGTGATCATTGCGATTTAGCAACGAAGGCATCTGTGAGGGTAAGTTTCTGCGTTGTTACCCATAGTCACTTCTCTCATGGTGTACATCACGAAACTCAATCTTGATTGGAAGGCAGGAAAGTTCTTACAAATATGGGTAATACAAAGAGACATTACAAGTGTCTCCTGGCTCTGGTTTCCAGTCATACAGACGATCCGTTGGTAAAGTTCCTATGATCTCTGTATTGAATCCTCGCTTCTATAAAGCTGGAGGTTTATTCCAGTGCTGAGGTGCCGGTAAAGTGTCTCCAGTGAATTTAATATATATGAAGAATATATAATCTTACTTCTATATACAGTGGAACCCCAGTGTTTGAACTTTATTGATTCCTAAGTGGTGTTGGAACTACAGTGTTGGAAACGGTATTTGCCAGGCTTTAATTATCAGTCTCACACACTGAAGGATGTTGAGCTGACTTTTCCAAAAGTCTCTAAGAGTTAGGTCAGCGTCAGAGATCACTTTAAAACATTTTTGAAACAGGACTTTCGTGTAAAGTCTTTTACAGCTGAAATGAAAACAAGTCAGCGTGTTCTAACTCAAGAAAAACATTCAAAGACCGGGTCATTTTTTCTGAACAAAATTATTCGGACTCCGGTTTGTTCGAGATCAGGTACGTTCGAACACCGGGGTTCCACTGTGTTCATTAATCTTCCTTGTTTAACCTGAACTGTTAGTGACTTCAGTTCTCAGTAGTATCAGTATTTACGCATTACTATATATTTGTGCTGTTTTGTGACGAACTTTACCTAAACCTAACCTATTAAATAAATTATAGTACTACAAAAAATGGTTATTACTATGACCATAATTTTTAAAGGGGGGTAAGCCAGCGGAAGGCCTCGGTCAGATGACCAAAAACTCCAGCTGTCGATTATCATATGACTAAGACCCGCGTCAGGAAACACTTGTCCTGTTTCCTGACAAACATTATACTTACCTATTAAATGATTTTGACCAATACAGTAACCTCTTAACAGATTATTTGCTATTTTAACGAAGCCAGAAGCATGACTAGCAAGTTAATATGCTGAACTATGTTAGTACACTGGTGGGAGCTCTAACATTAATGTTATTGTTCAGCTCAATAGACTGAAAACTCTACAAAATATTGGAAGCTGGTATGCTCACTAGCAGACTCATATTCAATTTCTACTAACACACACACTCAAATTCCATCACTACAGACTCACATTCTGTCACTGCAGACACATTCCTGTAGTGTAAACGCTTGTATTTTATCACTGTAAACACATTTCATCACCGCAGACATTCACATTATATCACTGCAAACACATTGTGTCACCAGTCACACTTATATTATGCACCCATTCACAGCTCATTCGGGGAAATGTCCAAAGCCGAAGGAGGTTTGTGTCATCAAGAATGTGGACGAGAATCAGCCGACAGACAACTGCATCGCCGACGACACCTGCCTAGAAACCCATAAGTGCTGCTACGACAGGTGTTTAGGATTCAGGGTCTGCACACCTGCTGACCCAGATTCTTAACTATATTTAGGAAACACTCCAGGGGAAGTGGAACAGAATTCTTCCTCCGTAAGTCATCCATGTGGTAACAGGCGACTAAAATGCCGGGTGCAAGAGGCTAGTAACACCTTCTGTATAAATTACTAAATTTAAAAAGAAAAAACTCGTTTTTCTTTTCAGGTCACCCTGCCTCTGTGGTATACGGCCGGTGCACTGAAAAAAAAAATAGGAGGCAGTGATAAAGATACTAATCCAGAAGAGGCTACACTTTCAACAGTATGCCAGTGACAATTAAATCAATTTAGTAATGGTGAATAATTTTTCACTGCGCCAGTGACCGTCTCATAGAAAAAATATTGATAAATAATAATGAATAAATAAGGTCAATGAATGACACGTAGAAAAAAGTTGTTTGGATATTTTACGAATTGTATTTGGTAAGACTGTGGTGAGTTACCCCATGCTGTGGTGAGTTACCCCATGCTGTGGTGAGTTACCACATGCTGTGGTGAGTTACCCATGCTGTGGTGAGTTACCCCATGCTGTGGTGAGTTACCCCATGCTGTGGTGAGTTACCACATGCTGTGGTGAGTTACCACATGCTGTGGTGAGTTACCCCATGCTGTGGTGAGTTACCCCATGCTGTGGTGAGTTACCCCATGCTGTGGTGAGTTAACCCATGCTGTGGTGAGTTACCCCATGCTGTGGAGAGTTACCACGTGCTGTGGTGAGTTAACCCATGCTGTGGTGAGTTACCCCATGCTGTGGTGAGTTACCCCATGCTGTGGTGAGTTACCCCATGCTGTGGTGAGTTAACCCATGCTGTGGTGAGTTACCCCATGCTGTGGTGAGTTACCCCATGCTGTGGTGAGTTACCCCATGCTGTGGAGAGTTACCACGTGCTGTGGTGAGTTACCCCATGCTGTGGTGAGTTACCACATGCTGTGGTGAGTTACCACATGCTGTGGTGAGTTACCCCATGCTGTGGTGAGTTACCCCATGCTGTGGTGAGTTACCACATGCTGTGGAGAGTTACCACATGCTGTGGTGAGTTACCACATGCTGTGGTGAGCTACCACATGCTGTGGTGAGTTACCCCATGCTGTGGTGAGTTACCCCATGCTGTGGTGAGTTACCCCATGCTGTGGAGATTTACCACATGCTGTGGTGAGTTACCCCATGCTGTGGTGAGTTACCACATGCTGTGGTGAGTTACCACATGCTGTGGTGAGTTACCCCATGCTGTGGTGAGTTACCCCATGCTGTGGTGAGTTACCACATGCTGTGGTGAGTTACCACATGCTGTGGTGAGTTGTTACCCCATGCTGTGGTGAGTTACCACATGCTGTGGTGAGTTACCCCATGCTGTGGTGAGTTACCACATGCTGTGGTGAGTTACCACATGCTGTGGTGAGTTACCACATGCTGTGGTGAGTTACCCCATGCTGTGGTGAGTTACCACATGCTGTGGTGAGTTACCACATGATGTGGTGAGTTACCACATGCTGTGGTGAGTTACCACATGCTGTGGTGAGTTACCACATGCTGTGGTGAGTTACCCCATGTTGTGGTGAGTTACCACATGCTATGGTGAGTTACCCCATGCTGTGGTGAGTTACCACATGCTGTGGTGAGTTACCCCATGCTATGGTGAGTTACCACATGCTGTGGTGTATTACTCCATGCTGTGGTGAGTTCCCCATGCTGTGGTGAGTTACCACATGCTGTGGTGAGTTACCCCATGCTGTGGTGAGTTACCACATGCTGTGGTGAGTTACCCCATGCTGTGGTGAGTTACCCCATGCTGTGGTGAGTTACCACATGCTGTGGTGTATTACTCCATGCTGTGGTGAGTTCCCAATGCTGTGGTGAGTTACTCCATGCTGTGGTGAATTTCCCAATGCTGTGGTGAGTTACACATGCTGTGATGAGTTACCCCATGCTGTGGTGAGTTTCCCATGCTGTGGTGACTTACTCCATGCGGTGGTGAGTTTCCCCATGCTGTGGTGAGTTACCCCATGCTGTGGTGAGTTACTCTATGTTGTGGTGAGTTTCCCTATGCTGTGGTGAGTTACCCCATGCTGTGATGTTACCCCATGCTGTGGTGAGTTACTCCATGCTGTGGTGAGTTCCACCATGCTGTGGTGAGTTACTCCATGATGTGGTGAGTTTCCCCATGCTGTGGTGAATTACTCCATGCAGTGGTGAGTTACCCCATGCTGTGGTGAGTTACCGCATGCTGTGGTGAGTTACTCCATGCTGTGGTGAGTTCCTCATGCTGTGGTGAGTTACTCCATGCTGTGGTGAGTTCCACCATGCTGTGGTGTGTAACCCCATGCTGTTTTGAGTTACCCCATACTGTAGTGAGTTACCCCATGCTGTCCTGAGTTACCCCCATGCTGTGATGAGTTACTCCATGCTGTGGTGAGTTACTCCACGCTGTGCTGAGTTACTCCAAAATGTGGTGAGTTACTCCATGCTGTGGTGAGTTACTCCATGCTGTAGTGAGTTACCGCATGCTGTGGTGAGTTACCTCATGCTGTGATGAGTTACTCTATGCTGTGGTGAGTTACTCCATGCTGTAGTGAGTTGCCTCTTGCTGTGATGAATTACCTCATGCTGTGGTGAGTTTTCTCATGCTGTGGTGAGTTGCCCCATGCTATCTTGAGCTTCCCCATGCTGTCCTGAGTTACCTTATGCTGCGGTGAGTTTTCCCATGCTGTGGTGAGTTACCCCATGCTGTCCTGAGTTTCCCCATGCTGTCCTGAGTTACCCCATGCTGTGGTGAGTTATCCCATGCTGTAATAAGAACATAAGAAAGGAGGAACACTGCAGCAGGCCTGTTGGCCCATACTAGGCAGGTCCTTTACAATTCATCCCACTAACAAAACATTTGCCCAACCCAATTTTCAATGCCACCCAAGAAATAAGCTCTGATGTGAAAGTCCCACTCAAATCCAACCCCTCCCACTCATGTACTTATCCAACCTAAATTTGAAACTACCCAAAGTCCCAGCCTCAATAACCCAACTAGGTAGACTGTTCCACTCACCAACTACCCTATTTCCAAACCAATACTTTCCTATGTCCTTTCTAAATCTAAACTTATCTAATTTAAATCCATTACTGCGGGTTCTCTCTTGGAGAGACATCCTCAAGACCTTATTAATATCCCCTTTATTAATACCTATCTTCCACTTATACACTTCGATCGGGTCTCCCCTCATTCTTCGTCTAACAAGTGAATGTAACTTAAAGAGTCTTCAATCTTTCTTCATAAGGAAGATTTCTAATGCTATGTATTAATTTAGTCATCCTACGCTGAATGTTTTCTAACGAATTTATGTCCATTCTGTAATATGGAGACCAGAACTGAGCTGCATAATCTAGGTGAGGCCTTACTAATGATGTTATAAAGCTGGAGTTTGACCTCTGGAATTCTGTTGCTTACACTTCTTGATATAAATCCCAGTAATCTATTTGCCTTATTACGTACGCTTAGGCATTGCTGTCTTGGTTTAAGGTTGCTGCCCCACCATAACCCCAAGTCCTTTTCGCAATCTGTATGGCTAAGTTCTACATCATTTAACTTATAAGTACTAGGGTTATGGGCACTCCCAAGCTTCAGAACCTTGCATTTATCTACATTGAACTGCATCTGCCACTTTTCTGACCAAGAATAGAGTTTGTTTAAATCCTCCTGAAGTTCCATAACATCTACGTTTGAATCAATTATCCTACCTATCTTTGTTTCATCGGCGAATTTGCTCATATCACTAGTAATTTCCTCATCAAGATCATTGATATATATTATAAACAACAACGGGCCCAAGACTGATCCCTGTGGAACGCCACTTGTTACAGATCCCCACTCGGATTTAACCCCATTTATGGACACTGCTTCCTGTCAGTGAGCCATGACTCGATCCACGAGAGCACTTTTCCCCCACTGCCATGAGCTGCCACTTTCTTTAACAGTCTATGGTGCGGAACTCTATCAAAAGCCTTACTAAAATCTAAGTAAATAATATCAAATTCTTTATCGTGGTCAACAGCCTCAAAAGCTTTACTGAAGAAAGTTAAAATTAGTTAGACAAGACCGGCCTCTTGTGAATCCATGCTGAGTATCATTAATCAAGCTATGCTTATCGAGATGGCTTCTTATAATCTCAGCTATAATTGACTCTAGTAATTTGCCTACAATTGAGGTCAGGCTTATTGGGCGGTAATTTGACGGTAACGACTTGTCCCCTGTTTTAAAAATAGGAATTACATTAGCCATCTTCCACATATCAGACACTACACCTGTTTGAAGAGATAAATTAAAAATATTAGTTAATGGTTCACAGAGTTCCATTTTGCATTCCTTAAGAACCCTTGAAAAAACCTCATCAGGACCCGGCGACTTATTTTGCTTCAGTCTGTCTATCTGCTTCACAACCATTTCACTAGTGACTGTGATGTTACATAATTTATCTTCTAGCCCACTATAAAAATTAATTACTGGAATATTGTTTAGTGTCTTCCTGTGTAAAAACTGAGAGAAAATAATTATTAAAAATCGAGCACATTTTATTCTCTTTGTCAGTAAGGTGCCCATAGTTATTTTTAAGGGGACCTATCTTATCTCTAACTTTTGTTCTATAGACCTGGAAAAAACTTTTTGGGTTAGTTTTAGAATCCCTAGCAACTTTAATTTCATAGTCCCTTTTAGCTTTTCTTATCCCCTTTTTAATGTCCCTCTTAATGTCAATATACTGATTCATAAGATGACCCTCACCTCTTTTGATACGCCTATAAAATTCTTTCTTATGCCCTAGTAGATATTTGAGCCTATTATTCATCCATTTTGTGTCATTTCTATTTGATCTAATTTCTTTATATGGGATAAACGTTCTTTGAGCAGCATGTATAGTGTTCAGAAAACTGTCACATTGATAGCTCACTTCGTTACCCCAGTCAACAGATGATAAGTGTTCTCTAAGCCCATCGTAATCTGCTAAGCGAAAATCTGGGACTGTTACTGAGTTATCGCTACTATCGTACTTCCATTCAATGCTAAATGTAATTGATTTGTGGTCGCTAGCACCCAGTTCCTCTGAAATTTCTAAATTATTAACAAGGGATTCATTGTTTGCCATAACTAAGTCAAGCAGGTTATTTCCCCTTGTAGGTCCTGTCACAAACTGCTTCAAAAAACAATCCTGAACTACTTCTAAGAAGTCGTATGATTGTAAATTCCCAGTCAAGAAATTCCAATCAATATGACTAAAGTTAAAGTCTCCTAGAATTACTACATCATCGTGCCTTGTGGCCTTAATTAACAATTTCCTCCCATAGTAGTCTCCCTTGGTCCCTATCTAAGTTTGGGGGATGGTATATCACTCCTAAATCAGTTTTTCATGCCCTCTGAAAATTCTATCCAAACAGACTCTGTATGTGTTACTTCAGACTTAATACCTGTTTTTATGCAACAGTTCAAGCGATCTCGGACATACAATGCCACCCCACCCCCCTTCCCGATACTTCTATCTACTTGGAACAATTTAAAACCCTGAATATGACATTCCGCAGGCATGTCCCGACTTTTTGAATTAAACCACGTCTCAGTTAAGGCAAATACATCAATGTTACCTGCACTAGCAACTAATCTCAACTCGTCCATCTTATTCCTAGCACTACGGCAATTAGCATAATAAACATTGAAAGACTCTCCTTTCTCTTTACCCTTCCTGCTCATTTCTGTTTTTCTACTAAACCTATTACTGTCCTTATCACCCAAAGTCCCTGGCTTTTCAATATCTACCTCGTTCTGCTTATTACTAGTTCCCCTAGAACTCGTAATATTACTACACTGGGACTTCACTGTTTTCCTGCCAAAACCCATACCACTAACTATTCCTAGTTTAAAGTCCTAACTGCTCCCTCCACTGCAGTTGCCAGTGCTACCACCCCAGACCTAGATAAGTGAACCCTATCACTGGCATACATGTCATTTCTGCCATAGAAGAGGTCCCAGTTGTCAATGAATGTTACCGCATTTTCCTTACAGTATTTGTCCAGCCAGCAATTGACACCAATTGCCCTGGACAACCATTCATTTCCAACTCCTCTCCTTGGCAAAACACCACATATGACAGGGTTTCCACCCTTACTCCTAATTATTTCTATTGCTGACCTATACCTGCTAATCAGGTCTTCACTCCTACGTCTGCCAACATCGTTGCCTCCAGCACTGAGACAGATAATAGGATTGCTCCCATTATCTCTCATGATGTCATCCAGAAGGCTAACAATATCCTCCATCCCAGCCCCAGGAAAGCAAACTCTCTGTCTCCTACTCCTGTCCTTCAAGCAGAACGCCATATCCATATACCTAACTTGGCTATCCCCAACAACAACAATATTCTTACCTTCCTTGGTGTCGTTCGTCGTGATGTTCCCAGTAGTCGACTCACATTCGTCGGGTAGCACTGAGAATGTATTAGATGTTTCCACAACAGTTTCCACTGCAGTCTCTTTCTTCTTCATCGTTTCTACCTTTCCATTCGTCTTCTTGATCGTCAACCAATGCTGTGGTGAGTTACTCCATGCTGTGGTGAGTTGCCCCATGCTGTGATGAGTTACCCCATACTGTGGTGAGTTACTCCATGATCTAGTGAGTTACTCCATGCTGTGGCGAGTTACCCCACGCTGTGGTAAGTTACTCCATGCTGTGGTGAGTTACCCCACGCTGTGGTAAGTTACTCCATGCTGTGGTGAGTTACTATATGCTGTAGTGAGTTACTCCATGCTGTGATGAATCACTCCATGCTGTGGTTAGTTAATCCATGCTGTGGTTAGTTACCCCATGCTGTGGTAAGTTACTCCATGCTCTGGTGAGTTACTCCATGCTGTGGTGAGTTACTCCATGCTGTGATGAATTACTCCATGCTGTGGTGAGTTACCCCATGCTGTGGTGAGTTACTCCATGCTGTGATGAATTACCCCATGCTGTGAAGAGTTACTCCATGCTGTGGTGAGTTAGTCCATGCTGTGGAGAGTTGCTCCATGCTGTGGTGAGTTACTCCATGCAATTGAGAGTTACCCCATGCTGTGGTGAGTTGCTCCATGCTGTGGTGAGTTACCTAATGCTGTAAGTTGCTCCATGCTGTGGAGAGTTGCTCCATGCTGTGGAGAGTTGCTCCATGCTGTGGATAGTTGCTCCATGCTGTGGATAGTTGCTCCATGCTGTAAGTTGCTCCATGCTGTGGAGAGTTGCTCCATGCTGTGGAGAGTTGCTCCATGCTGTAAGTTGCTCCATGCTGTGGAGAGTTGCTCCATGCTGTAAGTTGCCCCATGCTGTGGAGAGTTGCTCCATGCTGTAAGTTGCTCCATGCTGTGGAGAGTTGCTCCATGCTGTAAGTTGCTCCATGCTGTGGAGAGTTGCTCCATGCTGTAAGTTGCTCCATGCTGTAGAGAGTTGCTCCATGCTGTAAGTTGCTCCATGCTGTGGAGAGTTGCTCCATGCTGTAAGTTGCTCCATGCTGTGGAGAGTTGCTCCATGCTGTAAGTTGCTCCATGCTGTGGAGAGTTGCTCCATGCTGTAAGTTGCTCCATGCTGTAAGTTGCTCCATGCTGTGGAGAGTTGCTCCATGCTGTAAGTTGCTCCATGCTGTAAGTTGCTCCATGCTGTGGAGAGTTGCTCCATGCTGTAAGTTGCTCCATGCTGTGGAGAGTTGCTCCATGCTGTAAGTTGCTCCATGCTGTGGAGAGTTGCTCCATGCTGTAAGTTGCTCCAAATGCTGTGGAGAGTTGCTCCATGCTGTAAGTTGCTCCATGCTGTGGAGAGTTGCTCCATGCTGTAAGTTGCTCCATGCTGTAAGTTGCTCCATGCTGTGGAGAGTTGCTCCATGCTGTAAGTTGCTCCATGCTGTAAGTTGCTCCATGCTGTGGAGAGTTGCTCCATGCTGTAAGTTGCTCCATGCTGTGGAGAGTTGCTCCATGCTGTAAGTTGCTCCATGCGTAAGTTGCTCCATGCTGTGGAGATTGCTCCATGCTGTAAGTTGCTCCATGCTGTGGAGATGTTCCATGCTGTAAGTTGCTCCATGCTGTGGAGAGTTGCTCCATGCTGTAAGTTGCTCCATGCTGTGGAGAGTTGCTCCATGCTGTAAGTTGCTCCATGCTGTAAGTTGCTCATGCTGTGGAGAGTTGCTCCATGCTGTAAGTTGCTCCATGCTGTGGAGATTTTGCTCCATGCTGTAAGTTGCTCCATGCTGTAAGTTGCTCCATGCTGTGGAGAGTTGCTCCATGCTGTAAGTTGCTCCATGCTGTAAGTTGCTCCATGCTGTGGAGAGTTGCTCCATGCTGTAAGTTGCTCCATGCTGTAAGTTGCTCCATGCTGTAAGTTGCTCCATGCTGTGGAGAGTTGCTCCATGCTGTAAGTTGCTCCATGCTGTGGAGAGTTGCTCCATGCTGTAAGTTGCTCCATGCTGTGGAGAGTTGCTCCATGCTGTAAGTTGCTCCATGCTGTAAGTTGCTCCATGCTGTAAGTTGCTCCATGCTGTAAGTTACTCCATGCTGTAAGTTGCTCCATGCTGTAAGTTGCTCCATGCTGTAAGTTGCTCCATGCTGTAAGTTGCTCCATGCTGTGGAGAGTTGCTCCATGCTGTAAGTTGCTCCATGCTGTAAGTTGCTCCATGCTGTAAGTTGCTCCATGCTGTAAGTTGCTCCATGCTGTAAGTTACTCCATGCTGTAAGCTACTCCATGCTGTAAGTTGCTCCATGCTGTAAGTTGCTCCATGCTGTAAGTTGCTCCATGCTGTAAGTTGCTCCATGCTGTGGAGAGTTGCTCCATGCTGTAAGTTGCTCCATGCTGTAAGTTGCTCCATGCTGTAAGTTGCTCCTTGGGAAAGATCGTGAAACATTATTATTTATAGAAGTTTGTTTCTCATCTCTGCGGGTTATTTGTGTGTTGTTCCAGTCTCGTTACTGCGCCTATGTCTGCCTTCCTGCCTTTTTATTCGAAATGGATAAGAATGTACAACGAAATGTACAATACAATGCAGAGGAATGTGCAGGACGTATAATTACTCAACAATGTCTAAAAATTATGATAATGCACAATAGCGAATAAGTCAGTAAACTGATTACCTCATACACCTTATGTTTCACCGTTGTTTTCTTTACTGGACTGAAGAATCCTCTGGCTGGCGAAACGTTTCCTCGGTAAAGATTCCCAGATGTTGCACAAGTGTCTTATTCTTCGATATAAACGATGTACAGGTTTATGAAGGTAACACCTGCTTGGATTGGTCGCCAGCACTCTGTGAAGTTGTTGAGGCGAGTGTGTCAGTGAGTGGAGGTGAGAGGGCGGAGTGTCAATGAGTGGGGGAGCTGGTGAGAGGGTGGAGAGTGTCATTGAGTGGGGAGGGGGCGTGGTGAGAGTGCGGAGTCGTTGAGTGGGGGGGCGTGGTGAGAGGGCGGAGAGTGAACTATTACATCACGGTGGTTGACGGTGTTGGTATTGGCTGTGGACGACCCTGGTGCCAGAACTCCACCATGATTGGTCTCCAGCCAGCAAGATCGATGACGCAACAAGGTTGTCTGAACTCGAAGTTCTGGGCAAGTGAGTGTGTGTGTGGGAGGGGGGGAAATTTTGAAGGAAGGGGAAGTAGGGAGAGGGGGAATGGTGAGTGGGAGGAGGGGGGGGGATGTGAGACCTATGGTGGAAGGTATGAGCGGTGGCAGCACGCACTTGCCCTGGTGTCACTGCGGTGTGCACAAGTGCTCCATACACACATACACACGCCCGCCGCCGCTGCTGCAAGCAACAGGTGTCCTCTTGTTGCACACACA